ATATCGTCCTTATCTCCCCTCATTCTTTTTTATGTTTGTTACTGTCTTGTAACACCTCTAATCTTCTGGCGCTCATATGACCTTATGCAATTGCGAGCGCCGTAAAACCTCTACTAAAACAAAATAAAACTAAAGCTCCTAACTTTGTGAGTGGTTGGAGGGCGCCAGTGGTAGGTCCTACTTCTTTACTTTCCCTCTGTTGTTTCTGTTTGTCTGTCTTACTTTTCGCAGCACTAAATGACCATTATTGTGTCAAAGTTCTTCTCTTTACTCAAACAAACAGACAAAAAACCCTAACTTGACAGGCCTTTATTTCTGTACCTATTCCAGAAAGACCACGAGGATGAGCTGCTACGGATGCGGGATGGCTTCGCTGCCCAGATTGAGCGGCTGAGTGACCAGATTCTGATCCTACAGGATGAGGTCAATAAGTACAAAACTTTGGCGGGGATCGAGGAGATGACGAAGGTTTGGATTGGTTTGTGTACTTTCTGTGTGTGTGTGTGTGTGTGTTGTGTGTGTGTGTGTGTGTGTGTTTGTGTGTGTGTGTTGCTTTGTTAGGTGTTTTTGTGTATGTGTGTGGAAGAGATGGAAAATGGGACTTTTTGGGGGAGGGGAGTGGAGGGGAGTGGGATATGGAGAATGAGGATAGGCAGGAGAGGAAATAAGCTGGGAGATGGGATTAAACACTGGGGGGAGATTGAGACGGAGAATGGAAATAAATAGTGCTTCTAAGGCATTTGTGCAGTTGTTACGAGTGCTTCAATGATGCAAAATATATTTAATATACTGTCACTGTGACTTGAAATTGAAATATTTAGAGATTTAACTTCGCTTGAATACCAAAAAAAATGGATAAATGGTGTTTCTGATGACTTTATACAACATAAGATTCAAGACTCTGGTTTTGTTTCTTTTTCTTCTTGAATTAAAAAAAAATTGCACTGATAGCCTTATATCAACAATATAAACAATTTATGTTGGATTGCTGTTTTGCAGTGGTGTTTATCATTTTTAAAAAAATGAATACTACTCTGCCATGGACAGCTGAAATGTTCCAAATTTGCACTTACGTTGTTTTTCCCAAGGAGGCCCTGCAGGCAGCAGAAGCGGCCAGAAAAGAGGCCGGCCTCCCGTCCAGCAGCACACCCTCGGGGCCCTCTGAGATGGTCTTGGCCATCACGGGAACGCCCACCTCCCACTCTCTACAGAACGGCGACTCCTCCGCGCCCCCTGTCCCCCCTCTACCCTCCGAACACAGCCTGAACGGCACCCCAGCCCCGCCTCCTCCTCCTCCTCCTCCTCCTCCTCCACCTCCACCACCGCCTGGCCCCCCTCCTCCGCCCCCTTCTGCTATCGGAGGACCCCCACCCCCACCACCTCCCCCTCCCCCGCCGGGATTGGGCGGTCCTCCTCCCCCTCCCCCACCTCCCCCGGGTCCAGGGGGGCCCCCGCCACCTCCCCCTCCCGGAGGTCCAGGCGTAGCCATGAGGAAAGGTGAGTGATTTTTGTTGGGGGTTTTTTTTTATACAGGCTGCATAAAAGTAGAACCAAATTGGAAAAAATGATAATAAAATCACAGACTGGAGAAAGATGCTAAAGCAGCACCAAGACATAGATGGTTGGTGCCTCTATAAATAAACTATTGATGGTCAGGTCAGGTGTTGGGGCTTTTTTCTGGGGGGGGGGGGGGGGTTCTTGTTTCTTTGTTGTTGTTGTTGTTTTTTGGGGGGGGTTTTTTTATAAGAGGAAGGGGGTTGTTTAGGTCCTTCTTTTTACTTTTTCTTCATGTGCTTTGTTGAATGTTTATTTGTGGGAGGGGTGATCAACATCTGTTTCAGATGTCCTGTTTTATGTGACTATTTGATATTGCTTTTTGGTCCAAATGTACATGCGTACATATGTTACATTATTCCGGTGCTTGCGAGTAGAAAATTAGCTAATTCACTGTGTTGTCAAGTGAAGATTATATCCTCAATGAACATTAAATTCAGTTATGTCTGAGGATTTCTAGTTCAAACTCATACCTTTTTTTTTTACTTAACGTTAGTTTGAGATTAACAGTTTATTAATAAAAATATCTCTGTTTTTGTATGAAGCAGTAATTATATGTTGTGATACTACCAAATAAATCAGTTCTTTTAGCTCTACTTTCAGATTTTATCTTACCCCCATGTAGACTTTGACAATTTCACTTCTGATGTTTTTAACATGTAATGATGAATGCTATAAATATGTCCATTGCAGAGTCCTCAAGGCCTATTCTCAACCCCAAAAGTCCCATGAAGCCATTGTTCTGGAAGAGACTACAAATGCACTCTCTGAAATCCGTCAGAAATCAGGAGTAAGTGCGTATGTGTTGGCCTGCGGGGAAAAGTACGAACTTGTACAGCTGTTTTTGCTGAATTTCCACTTTTACTTTAACCTATCTGAGTGCATTTAAAAATGTCTATTTATGGGTCCAGATTTTAATTTAGATTATAACTATACTTATTGGTGAATATGTTTACAATATAAGATTTATGTATTGGGCTGTGATGTATCTTGTTCAGCTGTTTTGTGTTCTAAACTTTTTTTCCCTTCCTTTTGGGGATAAAAATTCCTTTGCCCATCTTGCTCCATCAGTTTGGAACTCCTATCCCACAGAACCGAAGATTTACAACATCTGAGGCTAAATTTAAAACATCTTTGAAGATTTTTCACTGTTTTTCTCTCTATTCAACGTCAAACAAAGAATGTTGAGCAACATGCTTTTTCTACTTCATTTCAGACAATTTTTTTCCAGAACTTTTAATCCATTCTTGGAGAAATATAACTGTAATTTTACTCTTGTTCGTGGGTGGTTGGTAGGTGCTGTGGTGTGGTTTGCTCCTTTTTTTCTCTTGAACTTCTATTGTCCTTGTGTCTCCTTCTTCCTTTCTTTGTATGTTGCTCAATAGTAGCACCTCTAATCTTTGGTACATATGTGATGCATTTGCGTTTCGAGTGCTGTAAAACTCTTACTAAAACTAAAAAACAACATCTTGTTCTGGTTTCCCCAGAGAAGAGAACCTGTTCTGGGAACAGATAGATGAGGAGCCGTTAAACTATGACCAGTTTGAGGAGCTTTTCGCCAAAGTGGCATTAGAGTCCAAGAAAAAGGCATTGGCCAACAAGGCTAAGCCCAAAACTGTACAGGTTTGTGATTATCCTCAGTTTTCCTTGACCAGTATCTATGGTGTTGCAGTTAAGTGCTTTGCCGTCCCATGTAGGCAGGAGATCTCAGTTCAGTTCCCAATGGGAAAAAAATTTAATTGAGTATCTCGGTCTTTCTACTGAGATGTTGTATCCCTCTCAACCTGGGTTGGCCTTCACAAGCGTTTTTCTTTTTGTAATTGTCAGTACAGTGCCTGACCTAATGGCTGTCTTAAGTCTATATTTTATTTGTCTCTAAAAAGTTATGCTTAATCGATTATTTTAGTCTTATAGTACAAAATAAGAGATTTTTTAAATTGTCCCCAATTGAGTTGTCATTTTTGAAAGGCAAGTCTTTTTTGACATGTTTATCATTTCATTCAGACCTTTAATATATCGCACTTATATGACCTAATTGTGTTTCAAGTTTTGTAAAACACTTTTTAAAACAGAAAAAAAAACCTTCTGTGTATTTATTGGTGCTGTTTTCTTTTCCTCAGCCTGCCAAAGTTATTCAGCCAAAGAGATCTCAAGCTGTGGGAATTCTTTTGTCAAGTCTGCGGCTAGAGTTCTCTGATATAGAAGAAGGTTAGTAATTTTTCTTATATCTAATCCATTGAGTTTTCAAAGGGTGATGGGGTTTTGTATAATGTATAATTATATTTTTCTTAATGAACGTTTAAACATATTCTGAAGGTGAAAATGTTGCCTCAAGGGCAAAGACTAGAGATTAGTTATAGGATTTTTAAAATTTTCCAGTTTTTCAGTAGTATATAAAAATTACTTTAACAATATTGGGAAAGGATGCACTATTACTTACAGCAAAATTGACCTCAACTTTGTTTTGTTTCAGCCATACTCAACCTTGACACCTCAGTATTGGATGTAGAGAAATTCAAAGCCATCTATGACAACGTGAGTATGCAGGCTCTTATAAAGTCACAGATTCTTAAGTGTATGGGTTTTTTTCTTACAACCAAGCCCTGTCCTATGAAGTAACTGGTTTCATGTTTTGTAAAAATAATATAAACAGTTTTCTCCACCTGATTCATTGCATAACTGATATTATCAGCCTTGACAAGTTTTAGTTTTTTTATCAAGAACTTTTCTTAACTTTACATCATTTACTGGGGAAACTCTCCCCCACCCCAGACATGACAATATGTTGTGTGGGTAGATGAGGGCTCAACTAATTTTTTTTTCCCCCTCTTTTGTTTGTCTTTCCCTTTTGCTGTTTCTTCCTTTAAATGACCTTTTAGTGTGTCTATGTGCTACTCCTTACTAATAAAACTAAATCATTACCTTGTCTGCATCTAGACACTCCACTGTTTGATACTGATATTGATTTGGTATTGTTTATTGCATGACATCAAGGCCCAAAAAAACCCCTAAAAACATAACCATCAAGGTACAAATAACAGTCCTGATATTCACATATATATATATATATATATATAGTCTTCAAATTTGAAGCACTTGTTTGCCAAGATGAATAAACTTTGCACCATTATCACCGTGCTTTATTTTCACTCAACAGAAATATATCTTTTTTTTGTTATATAAGGACAAGTCTGAGCGAAAGGGGGCCTTTTGCCTAGACTGATAAGAGCAGAGACGACATGCATGATGCTCACTCTTTTGATGTAAAATGTTTAACTCTATTGTGAAAATAAGTTCTCGTACTTGTCTCAAAATACAGAGACCTGATGCTGAGGAGATGAAGATGATTAAAAAACAGCTTGAAAAACATCCGGATGTGCCACTGGACAAGCCAGAGCAGTGAGTACTCGTGGAATGTGTTCCTTGAAGAAGTTGTATGGTGAAAGATTCAGTGGAACCTGCTCCAACGGTCACCTGTCTAAGACAATCACCTGTACAAATGCCCACTTCCCACGTCCCCCTTACATTTTTTTCTCTTAGACAACTTCTTTTCTCCTTGACAATATGTGAGCGTCTTAGAGAGTTTCAACTGTAATAATGTATCAAAACTTTTTTTTCCAAATTATTAGATCCAGGGCTTTTGTTTAGAAATTTTTTTTCTGAAATGTAATGTATTTTGGGTATTTGATTCTTAATTTTAAAAGTTCATTCTTCAGTTGTGTAGACTGTACTAAGAGAACCAAAAGGTTCCTTCAATTTGATGCCCTTGTCAGCCAGATCTGGACTAGCTTTTTTCCTCCCGTTTTTAATAGTGTTCCTCCAAAGAGACTATAATATGTGAGGTGTGCTGACCAAATGAGTTACTTCTCACAATCCATGAATGGAGATACCGGCCAAACATCGACACAAGGGTCATATTTATAGATTCTTAACCAATGCCTTTCTCTTCAAGTTTAACATATCTTTTATCATTTCATACTACTAATAATAAATTGTAAAAACTCATCCTGAAAATTTGATATATTTATTTCCATCGGCTAAAATACCAGCTTGCCTCACAAAGAGCAAGTATGTGTTTTTACAACCCCTTAATGTATTCAAGATATTTAATTTGTGTACCAAAAATAATTTGTTCTTTCTTGTAATATTTATTTTCTCTTTTCCTAGATTTCTCCATGACCTAGAGCAGATACCATACGTGGGTGACAGGGTATTCTGTTTCATCTTCCAGTCAACATTCCAAGAGAACATGGGTGGGATTGACAACAAGCTCAATAATCTACGTATGACCTGTGAGGTGAGGGGTCAAGGTTTATCTCATCTTTGCAGTTGAATAAATATTTCCTGGTCACTTACTTAAAGGTGACAGTAATAAACATTTATGGGTAGAAGTTCACTCGTGTTTTTCTGTTTTAATAATGAATGAATATATTAAATATTTCAACTAAATCATTTTTATTTGTTAGTACCCTTTGCTCTGATTGAATGATGTTTCATGATACTCATGATATTAACTTTTTTTTCTGAAATAAGTCAAACATCAAAATGCTGAATAAGGCTTTTGCTTGTCTTACCATCAGTCTTGTGGTAACTTTTATAACTTTTCCCATTTTCTCTCCTACTAGATGCTGTCATCTTTCAACAGTGTGAGGAGAATATTTGGCCTTATACTTGCCTGTGGAAACTACATGAATGGAGGTTAGTACTGAGGGCTTCAGTGACTCAAAGATAACTCCCTCAGCCTGCCTGTTCAGTCTGAAGTACCATCTAAGTTCATGATTCAGTTTTCAAAAAGACCAGTGTTCCTATGTTTAAACATCATGAAAAAGTAACAGTCACATGTTTTTATTTCAAGCTGGAAGCATATAACTTCTTTTGGATTTTTTCTTTTGGGAGTTGAAAAGACTGATGTATGGACATGTGATTAGATCAAAGAATGAAGAAAGGACAAGAAGTTGAATTTAGGTATTAATACACCTCCATTGACACAAGTTAGATCATTTAGGAAGTGGATTTCCGACTCTCCCTGTCGGGGCCAACCCAGGCTGAGAGGGATACAAAATATTTCTTAAGCACATGCAAGCGATACCACAGATTAACTCCTCATCTCCGGCAAGCCACTCCCTACAGTTTGTAGTCAGAATCGCTGTGCCCTGATCTGCTGTCAACGGCTCTGTCAAATACTGTTTCAAAGACGACAACATGATATTAATTTTCTGCAACTGCCAGAAATAGGTATTTCTTTCTGGTACTGATAGTTCTTTCATTAGATAAAGAACTGTCAATGTAGGTTAATTTATTTATATTTAATGAGGAGTATATCGCTCAGATTTCGTTCCAAAAGAGGTCTCCGTATAGGAAAGTCCCCTCCGCAGATAAAAAGTTAAGAAGCTCCAATTTAAAAAGTTTTCAAAATTTTTGGCTTTGAACATATGAACCGCTGGGCAACAAAATACTTTTTTAAAGGTTGTATGGAATTTCTTTTATTCCCTTTGCATGTATGTCTTTCCCAGGCAGCAGAACGAGAGGCCAAGCTGATGGTTTCGATCTGGAGATCTTGCCAAAATTGAAAGATGTCAAAGCCAAAGTGAGTAGGAGAGTAAATTACTTGTAATAAAATAAATGTTTTGTATTGTCAAGTTGTCCCACAGGACAGGGATAATTATATTTAGAGCAAAATTTGACCAATAAATACTTTTTTGTGCTTTTATGGCTTTACTGGGATAAAGGACAGGGATAGCAGGAGGAGTTTTTAAAAATTAATTAGCTTTGCTGCTTAGTGTCTAAAGATTCAAAACATTTCAGCAAAATACAGGTGTGAAAGATTGTTTCCCCATTGTAGTTATTAAAATCAAATGCTGTAAAGGTGGCAATTTTCTTATTTTTTTCTCTGAACCAGAACGGAATGTCACCTTAATGTCAATTATCAAATCCAATGTTTGTTTGACAAGGTCATTATGTGACCTAAGTAATACTTTCCAATGAAGTATGAAGGTTAACGAACTATCTTAGCCCAAAGTTTTATAGCCATTGATGCTGATTTTAATTTTCTCCCTTAGTTGTCAAGGGCTACAACTGATATGTCACTCATGATGCAATAGTTGCTTCCCTTGTGTTCTTTCTTGATCACCCGTGTAATATAAAACATGTTAAAATGTGCATCCTGAAGGGCAGCACTTCCTTCACTCGCTGAATCTTAGACCCTGGCCATCTGCTACCGCCTGTGCCAGAGGATTTTTAATTATTCTTAAAGTTGTAATTTAAAAAAAAAACAGTTATAAGCAAAAAGCTATCGGAACAAATTCATTTCAGTGCATTACACCAATTTTGTTGTATTTTTTTAAAGCAAGTGTTCACAATTCCACTTACTTAATTTGTTCATTTTAGAGGCATGCTATTTTAGCCTGCTTTACAAAGGCAACCTAAGCTGTGTGGGGCATGTCCCACATGAAAAAAACTTGATTAAATACTTTTTCTTCTTGGGAATCTTTCTTTGCATAATTAAGATAAAGAACCTGACTTTTATGACTCAAACACTGTTAAGAGAAGCCTCTTATGTGTATATTGACAACGAAACCAAACGACTTCTAATAATTTGATATCTAAGTTGACAAGTTTGTCTGTCTCGTCTTTCCCAGTGCATATTTCATGTTTTAGTGGGATGTTCTCCCAGAGTGGGCAGTTGGAGTCTGCCACTGGTTGATCCTCCTATTTTTTTTAACTTTTGATGTGTCTCTCTGTCTATCTTGCTTTTTCCCAAGTTTAAACAGTGATTGGTTCAATGTGCTTCTTTTTACTTAAATTAAAACTAATACTGGCTCCCCCAGGACAACCGCACCAGCCTGCTACAGTTTGTGGTATCCCGCTACGTCCACCAGTACGACTCTGACGTCATGGGCACAGACCGGGCAAAGTTACCTCTACCTGACCCCAGTGATATACACCAAGCCGGTCTTGTCAACTTTGAGGATATTGAGAAAGAATTAAAGAGAATAAAGAAAGATTTTATCAGTAAGTGCTTTTCTCTTTTCTTGTAATATGCCTGATATTGATAAAGTTTAGTAGTTCTTAGTACGGGAGCAAAAGTGGGGCAAATTTATGTCCCCATTATTGTCTTTGTTTAAGCTAGTTGAAAGGGGAACCTTCCGTACTTTTTTGTGTGAATTTATGGACCTTTTCAAATTGCAAGGGCTTTTCATTTTCCTTTCTTTGGGTAGAAAAATGCATGTTTAGTCAAATACATATTTTTTCTTAGAGATACAGATTTCAGATCAAGTTGTTAAACCGTTATCTTCTTTTAACTCTTTATCTCCGGCAAGCCACTCCCAGCGGCTCGCGGTTGGAGCTGCCATGCCGGTGAGCCGCTGAGAGGGGCTTGGGCACATTCCTTTACGACGACTTCTACATCAAATTAATTTTCGGCTATTGCCGAAAACAGGTCTCTTTTACCGGAAGTTCATTCATTAGATGAAGAACAATCAAAATATGTTTGCTAGTTTCGATTTAATGATGTTTTTGTCATTTTTAGATTTAGTACCAAAAAATGGCCCCGGTGTAGTGGGTCCACCCCCCTCGGAGATAAAGAGTTAAAGCAGGGGTCATGGCAGGCTGACATTTTGATGTACGCTCTTTTTATTTCAGGTGCTGAAAGCAAAGCAAACAACATCATACGGTCTTCCAATGATGGAATAGAACCTTTCAAGACTATTATGTCATCTTTTTTCGACAAAGGTACTTTCCAAGGCTCTGTGTCTTTTTTTTTATTTGAGAATAATGAGTCATAAGAGACATACTGCATTAAATGCAGGGCATATTGAGGAGCTGTAGGTATAAGGAGAATGGAAGCTAACAAGGCAAAAATGATGTTTTAAAATAAGTATTTCATACACATAGCTAAATGAAGAAGTTGATGTTTGTTGCTTGACCATTGGTGTGTTGCACTTCCCGCTGGTGTTCTGACCCCACTGGAAGGATGCCCTTTTTTTATAGCTTGTGAGAGACCCTTTTGTTGGAAATGGCTGTTTCAGCCTTACTCTTGTGAACTGGCTATTACGAGCCTGCTTGGTAGAAAATCTGGGCTCCATTCTTCACCTTAGCTTTTAGATAGCTTGTTTCTGTTTCAGTTTCTTGGGAGGCTTCTTTTTCTAAATTGACAAATTACCCCATAGAAAAATATCTGCTAAATTACCTATTAATGAGAAGGAGTAATTAACTTATTCAATGTATGTGCAACACCCATGGGGATACCATTGTCACAATGAATTTTAATTAAATGAAAATCACGAAAAAGTATAAATGAACACAGGTCATCATGTTTACTACTTGACTTGAAAAATCAAAGACCTGAAAGATCTGAACCCAGTTATTTTTTTCCACACACATTTTTTAGACTTTTACACCTATTTTTCTAGGTGCATCAGAAAATGAAAGTTTCTTTAAATCTTTCTCAGGAAAGCAAGATTTGAGGGAACAGGAAGAAAACCTCAAAGACTGTTCGGGACTGTAAGTAATTTTGTTCCCTCATTCTTTTTTTTTTTTTTATATTACTGCAATGAGAAGGATATAATTAGCTTATTGTTCTATCTTATTGATTGGGTTTAAATGAGGAAAGGGGGGGTATTGTAAGATCATTTTCTTTTTATATAAGCCTACTTTGTTCTAACATGATATAGGTACCTATTCTGATGAGAAACTACATATCAAGCTTAACGGTAATCCACCCATTAGTTGCTATGGAATTCCAACTTTACTCCATCATTTTTTCAGCTAAGCAGAAGGAAACCAAATGATGCTTACGTCTGTCAAGCGAGAATAAGCAGCGTGTTCTTGTTCACCATTTTGTATTTTAAGATATGTCCAGTTATTGCCTTTTAGAGTATATGCTGGAAATATTCCTTACTGAACTGTTATCAGTTACATAGATATGCACACTCTCATTCATACACACACAGGCATGTTAATTTACACTAACATGCATGCTCACACCTTATATTTACACTCATGAACACAATATGCAAGCATATCCGTTTTATGTTTTAGTAGGGTTTTACGGCGCTGGCAACTGCATAAGAAGGTTATCCACACAATCAAAGAAAATACTACACGAACACACATGCACATAACCTCACATATCCAGACATGTGAAAGGTCATAAACCCAGACATAAACACACTCATACACTTGCATTCAACCTCACATGGGCGCGCACGCACACACACACACACACACACACACACACACACACACACACACACACACACACACACACACACACACACACAAACATGCGCATAAACGCACATACCCAGAACATTTGTTATTGGCAGATGGACACACACACACACACACACACACACACACACAGTCACACACACACACACACACACACACACACATGCACGCACACACACAGTCACACACACACACACACACACGCACACAGTCACACACACACACACACGCACACACACACACACGCACACACACACACAGTCACACACACACTCACACACACACACATACAATCTTCAAATATAACACTTGTTTTTGCCCTTACATTTCCAGGTTCCAAAAGACCTGTGTGTTTTTCTGTGTGAAGCCAAAAGGCAATGACAAGATCCCCACCCCGGAAAACTTTTTCTCTCTCTGGGCTTCCTTCTGCTCCGACTTCAAGGACATCTGGAAGAAGGAGCAACAGAATGTCATGAAGCTGAAGTAAGTACTCACCCCTGAGACCAGTTTTATTCATTAATGTTTCCAGACTGTCATTTACATTTAGTTACATTATGCATTTTAAAAAAAATACTGATATTTTCACAACTCCATTGACACAGATTAGATCATTTAAAAGGTGGTGTGAGTTTCTGTTATGATACCGTTCAAAATAAACTACAAGTTATTAATGTGTGTTTATCCTATGTTGATCCCTACAGCTGATGTGTTTTTATCATGGGCACATCTGGAATGCTACCTGTTTTATCCATTTCCTGTTAAGCGTGATTGATATTGGTTGTTGAAAAATGCAACGCGAAGGATCAAACCACCCAAATGGGCAGAACATGCCACCTGTGTCTTCAATAAGATTTTCTCTGAGATATGCTTGGCTTTGATTAAAATAGATGACTAACATTAGATTGTAGCTTAGCTTTCATTTCCAGTGAGGAAAGTATGTCAGAGTTGGTATCAGTGGTCTGAGTTTACTTTAACTTCCCCTGATCCCTAAAGAATGTGAACATCAAGAGGTTGCATGGAGTAGAGGATGTTGAACAAATGGATGGCCATCATTGGTAAAGAAGGTGAATAGGAAAAGGCTGAAACAATCTCTCTGACAATGACAATGCTTAGCAATGTGTGTGAGCCAGAGTTTGCTGCTCTATAGCAGTGATTATCAATGTTTTTGTAGCTGGCGCCCACTTTTGCCACGCCCACTTTTGCCACTGCCAAAAGTCCAAGATTTTTGTACTGCCCACCTCCATGTATTTCCGAGCACAGCATAAAACAATACCTGTCACTACCCTAATGATCCCCTTCGCACACCAAATTTATCAAACCGCCCACTAGTGAGGGACACTGCTTAGGTCCTGTGGTTGTTCTGGGAATAGATCTTCCAAGGATTTGAACCAGAATCATATGTAATATTGCACAGCATAATACCAGCTGAGGTTACAGTGTTTTCTTCATGTTTTGGGAATCTGTTTTCCTTTAGAACTGAACAAAGTGATCAGCCACAGCAAAGAAAGAGTTTTATGTTTGCACGTTTCTGTTTCAGGATCAAAGAGGCAGAGGACCGTGTGCGGAGAATCAAAGAGTCCAAGCTAGTGCTGCCGCCTACACGTGCAAAGAAAGTTGGTGGACTGGTAAGTACACTATAGATTTTCATGACTCTATTGATAATGAGGAGAGTAGTATTAATGAAGAAAAAAGAGTGAAACTGAACAAAAAGTCACTTTCTGTGCAATGCCCTGAATATTTGCATTGATTGGACATTTCCGATGGAAGGCATGATATAAGTTTTTTTCCTTTAGCTGCTGAAAAAATACAGTATTGGATATCTAAAGTTGACTTTTTTTTTCCCTAAAAGAGGGGATGGCAGAAAAAGTGTTTTCACACCGTAGTTTGTTTATGTGACATAAAGTCTCACTTTCACTGGCAGTAATTCTGTTGGTTGTAACTCAATGATTTTCCTTTGAGGTTTATTTTAATCTACCAAGTCACTGAGTGGATGCAATGAGGGTCATATAGGAAAAGCAAGGATGTAATCACATTGTAAATTGATGTCTCAGAGATTAAGATAAGATAAGAGTGATAAACTTTACTGATCCATGAGGAATGGATGGATATACCAGAGCATCAACAAACAAAGATTTAGCATCAACACAAAAATGGGCTCAAAACATTCATACTCAGTGATATTGGTATTCCACTTTTCAAAACTCAAAATACTGGTTTCTCATGCTTTTGTCAGAACTGTCTTGTGTCTGATGTTTTTAGAAGTGATGTAACAGGACTCTCTCTGACTCTAATGTAGCAATGACTTTAAAATCATCTTTCTGTGTTGAAAGAAATTAAAAACCCTATTCTGTTTTCAGTCATCCTCTTGTATGTTTTATTATATATGAATGCTAGACACAGTCTTGGAATAGACAAAATTTAACACTTGGAACTGCCATATAAACATGATACATGTTGTTGAGACTACTGTGTTCTATGTCAGGGATGTAAGTTCAAGAAGAAAGGCACACGCTTAGCTATAACCAGGTTCGTAATAACAACAACAGCAAAGACAACAACAAATATTATTGATAAATCAATAGATTCATGATTGACATTGTTTATTCTATTTTATTGTGTATTAATTATTTACTTTTTTTCCCTCTTATCAGAAAGACAGATTATCGAGACAGGGAAAGATATGAGCTGCTGTACTTGTTCAAATATTATGGTAAGTAAATCAGAAATGCATTGTTTCTGTTCTATGCTGCATAATCTCTCTTTTGAACAGCAGCAGGAACTTTTTTTTTATGAAGGTGTTTTATTAACACTATGGAGATAATTTAGAAGGTGGGCTTCAACCTTGCCTGTCAGGGCCAATCTGGACTGAAAGGGATACAATGTCCAAGCTGAAAGACTGGGGTGCTCAATGAAAAGTCTCCCCACACGAGATTGGAACTTGTGTCTTCTGTGTGCTACATTTAAGCACCTAACCACTACACAACAGATGCTGGTAGCTGAAGCTGTGTGTGGAAAGACGTGCTCAGTGTCATTGTTGTCATTCCTCTGTGTTTTTGGGACAATAATTGATCATCTTCTCTCCTCTCTCTTTCTCTCTCTCTTTCTTTTTATTTCTCTATCTCTCTCTCTCT